CACTGAGCTATCTCTGCAGCCCGTACTTAGGACACTTTTGAATTCCCCTTTGGAATTCCCTGCAGGACCTTCGTAATGGAAACTTTGAGAATTTCTCCTGTTTATCCTACAATGTCAAGTTAGCCATCAGGCAGATCTTTTCACTGGGGTAGATCAACAGGGTGATAGAGTTTTCAGTTATATATGCACAGTGACAGTTCTTGTGGTTTGGGGTGGCTGCCAACCAAAGCACTGGCATTCCTGGGATCTGCATGATCTTCTTCTGATAATAGTGATTTGGAGGTTTGAGACATTCGTGGAGTGGAATCACCAAAGAGTCTAGAATATATAACTTTATTTATTAATACCAGCGATTTGAATGGCACAGAAGTTTTGTTGGGACACTCCAGGGATATTAAATCAGCTATTCCAGGCAGTGAGGACTCCTGGCAGTGTGTTGTGTGGTCCTTGATTTGCACCCACAGTGTGCTGGTGGACCCTGCAGTTCAGCTTGGGGACAATGTAAGCAGTGTGACCACAAGTGCCCTATGTCTAGCCAACAGGATGCTTATGTGAATGCCATGAGCTGTGAGCTTTTGACCCCTGGAGTTCATACTCCTTCCTTCTAAATGGACTTTGAACGCCAGGATGGACTTGTAAAATCTTTTGGGCATTTTGTATTTCAGCTCCTCCCAGCCAAAAATAGTTCTTCCTTATCCTGAATTTTTACAAAATTTCATGGAGTCTCCCTTGGTTTTCCCCTTCCTCTGTCTCATGCTGTCTCTCTGTGTGAAATGTTCTCGTGTTATTTAGTAGGAAATGTCCGAAACTTTCCAGAACGTGCTGAAAGGTGGAGGAGTGGTGGGTGCTTGACCTGTGTGTGGCTACATGCCCCTTCCTGCTTACCCTATCGTGGCCCAGCTCCCTCTCCACCTATAGAAAATAGTGAGAAAAATCACTCGCTACAGTGTTTTGGGGATCAAACCCAGTGCAATCCAAGAACTAAAACAGGCTTATAGCAAACTGGCTTTGAAGTACCACCCTGATAAGAATCCAAACGAAGAAGCAAAGTTTAAACATAGTTCTCAGGCTTATGAAGTTTTCTCTGATGCCAAGAAAAGGGAATTATATGACAATGGAGGAGAAAGGGCAGTTAAGGAGGGTGGAGCAGATGGCGGTTTTGGCTCCCTCATAGATATATCTTTGATATGATTTTTAGAGGAGGAGGAAGGGTGCAGAGAAAAAGGAGAGGTAAAAATGTGGTGCATCAGTTCTCAGTTACCTTGGAAGATTTTGGTGCCATGAGGAAACTGCCTCTGCAAAAGAATGTGATTGGTGACAAATGTGAAGGCCGTGGTGGAAAGAAAGGAGCTGTGGAGCGCTGTCCCAACTGCCGAGGTGCTGCAGTGCAAATAAGGATTCATCAGCGAGGACCTGGAATGGCTCAGCAAGTTCGTTCTGTGTGCGTGGAGTGCCAGGGCCATGGCGAACACGTGTCCCTAAAGATAGAGGCTAAAAGCTGCACACGAGGAAGATAGTTAAAGAAAAGAAGATTCTAGAAGTTCAGAATGAAAAAAGCATGAAAGATAACATCCCGTGGTGAAGGTGACCAAGAACCAGGGCTGGAGCCTATTATTGGGCTAGATCAGAAGGACCCTGCTGTTTTTATTCGGTGAGGAGAAGACTTTTTTGTGTGCGCGGATATACAGCTGGTTGAAGCACTGTGTGGCTTCCAAAAGCCAATGTCCACTCTTGACAACTGAACCACAGTCATCACCTCTCATCCAGGTCAAACACTCAAGCATGGAGACATCAAGTGTGTGCTAAATGAAACGTGCCAGTGTATCATAGACCATATGAAAAGGATCATCTAATCATCGCATTTAAGATAAACTTTCCTGAAAATGGCTTTCTTGCTCCTGATAAACTCTCATTGCTGGAAAAACTCTTCCCTGAGAGGAAGGAAGTAGAAGCGACTGATGAAATGGATCGGGTAGAGCTGGTGGACTTTGGTCCAAATCAGAAAGATGGTGCCTTTACAATGGAGAAGGCGGTGAGGATGAGGCACACGGAGTGTGGAGTACTGCGAGTGAGAAGGACTGGCAGCATCACATACTCACTACTCGCTATTGCTTTTGTTTCAATATTCAATTATGCTAGTTTTAAAAGTTAAATGGAAAATAAACTCAAATACAAAAGCTCCGACCTTGCTCCGTATGTCTGATGACTTCAGGGTGCAAGATGAAGTTTCATACCTGTTGAAAGTCCCTCACCCTGGTGTCCGTGAGGCCAGGCCTTGTCACTGACTTCAGCTGTGTACATGGACAAGCTTAGCCTGAAATGCTAGGTATATGCGTTGACTTTCGTGTGTGACTCTTCATTGCTAAGCTATGGATGGAGACTGTATTTAACTGGCAATCAGAAAAAAGAAACAGTCTGTGGAAGTGCTGGTCTGTCTGTAGTTACGTGTATTAAGTGGGACTCCTTGTGATGCCTTTGTGTTCTACTGCCTCAACTATTAGTCGAAGGTGGCATAAAATATTATTTAGCCTGTGATATCAGTGATAGAAATGATACCTTTCTTCTTTTTTTTGGTGGAACTGGGGATTGAACTCAGGCCCTTGCGCTTGCCAGGGAAGTACTTATTCCACTGAGCCATCTCCCCAGCTCTGGTACCTTTCTAAAGAAGAGGTTTGTCATAATGCTGCTTCTTAAGGGCCTGCATTTCTAGGATTGCAGTCCCTTCTACTGTGTCATCTTTTCAAACACACACACACACATATATGTCTATATCCATATCTATATCTATATCTATATCTATATCTATATCTATATATAGAGACCATTCCTAGATATGTTGTTTTTCCCTTCTCTTTGGGCCATGATAAGCCACAAGCTGTGACTTCAGAGCTGGGTAACTTTTAAATTAAAGTGAAGAAACTATACCGAAAGGTAATTTGCATGTGTAATATAAGAAGGTGCTCCATAGGTATGTTGCAGGCTTACTTTAACCCATTCGACGTAGTGCTCCAAAGTAACTGTAATTTAATGGTATTGGTATAGCAAGTTATGATGAATACCTTTACTTGTATGTTTAAAAGTCGTATGTTCGCATGCTTACATCTGAGTATCAGAATTTAAGCAATTGTTGAAATGTATGAATGTCTCCTTAATATGCTGCTTACAAAGCAAAGCAAAGCAAAGCAAAGCAAAGCAAAGCAAAGCAAAACAAAAAACAAAAACAAACAAAGTATCCTTTACCAGCAGAACATCCTCGAAATAATGCTTGGGCTCTTCACAGGGATGCACTATCTTTGCAGCAGTGTAAAATAATCCGAAGGCATTACACTTCTCGCCTTATATTTTTTCTTATTCTTTGTTCCTCTCCTAGCTAACTTGCTATGATTTAAAATTTATTCTTGGGTTCTGTCGTTGTCATAAATTATCCTTAGAAAATCCTTAAGGATAATTTATGAGTGAAATGAACTCAAGAAAGTCGAGCAGTTTTCATAACATCTTATGCTGAAGAACGGGAAGTGTTTCTTCAATGAATATTGGATTTACATTAGATGAGGAGCTATGGTTGATGACAAACATTCAAAGATGAACAGGCGATAGTCCCTTTCCTCAAGGTGTTCTCACTCTACTGGATATCTGGTTGGGAGCTGTCTTAGACACTTTTCTCTCATTGCTGAGACAAAAATATCTGACATCCAAAATTAAGGAAGGAAAGATCTATTTAGCTCACAGTTGGGAAAGGTTTCAGCCCATACTCAGCTCCAAAGCAGGGTGGCACATGCCAGAGGGCACCAGTTTATGGCCTCGGAGGGCACCAAAAGCAGTAAGACCAAAGTGGGGAGCAGGTGTCTATTCCTCCCTTATATTGTAAGCAGGCCATCACACCTTGGGTAGGTGTAGCCCTCAAGCTGCCTCCCTGCCCTCCTCTTGCACAGGGTGAGAATGTTTACAGAGTGAAGACCCTGGTGTCCTGAGTTAACCTTCTAAACTTCTCAAGGTGACACAGTGTCATTGCAGGGGGAAAGTCTGAATAATAAACTGTAACACTCAGGATACAACGCTTATCAAAGTGCACACATCCCAGACTTAATTCAAAAGAAAGTTTGAAAATGTTCAGGGAGTTACAACTCCCTGGCTAGCAAAGTCCTGCAGCTGTGTGTAGATTGATGGTTCTGAGGTGGAAGGATGAACTAGGCGAAAGATAAACTCCCGACCCCGCTGAGCTGTCTCTTGTACCCCTTTAAAGGATTCTGTTTTTTTAAAAATTAATTTTATTGAGAAACAAATAGCAATGAGACAGTTTCAAAACCAATTAGTAGGACAGTTTCAATAGTTAGTACATTGCATATTGTCTTTGTAGTGGTTATTCATAGTACAAGATGCAGACATGATATTCTGTCCGAACACTATTAGTACAAATCTTTCTTCTCACTGAATTAAGAGGAAGTAGCTGTATATCTATCCTAACTATTTTGTATATTCAGATGCAAAATGGTCCTGCATTTGTACCCCCTTTTTAATTTAGTTTTGTCAGAGAAGGGTATTCCATTGCCATTTAAATATTGTAGGTGTGTGAATTCAGCAAAATAATTGGGAGCTTTTCGTATGAAGATTGAAACAAATTATCTCACATCCTCCTGAGCCTCTTCATGCTTGCTTTTTGGCCTGGCATGACTTGTTAAATAATGTAATCTGCTTCAGATATGCATCTGAAGTTCTCAATTACTTTCGGAAATGGGGGCCCAATCTTACCAGTGAATCTGTGCTTTTACATAACATGACAGATGGTGTGTGTGGTCAATGGTTTTTGATTATGAAGCAAACTCTAAAAACGTAGCAAACCAAAGCGGCGGCTCTTCACATAGACTGTAAATTATCTTTCACAGCATTTCATGGGGGAGGCGGCTTCGGGGCTAAAAAGTAGGCTAGTCTCTCATCTAACCAGCACAACCAAGCTGGCTGCCATGTGTGACGGATTGAAGCTCAGGGCAGGCTAGAGGGCGATGCGGGGGACTCGCTGGCTGAGGTCTGGGTTGCTGTGTGTCACCCTCTTCCTCGCCATTGCCAAGCAGAAGCCACCTCAATCTTCTGTCACCAACAGCTGTCACTCAAGGGAATCACTGTCCCAAGCTGTGGACACCCTCTATGTCAAGGCAGCCAGGCTAAAGGCAGCCATTCCAGTGAGTACTAGGCTCTGCTTTGAAGCATGACCGAGGGGATGCTGTAACCCTGCACATAACGTACTTCTCTTTATTTTGCTGTAGGAAGACCGCATAAAAAATATACGATTGCTAAAAAAGAAAACAAAAAAGCTATTTATGGTAAGTCAGAAAGTCTTTTCCATTTGTACCTTCCTACTTGCTTGATGTTTTCTTTTTCTGCATTTTAATTTTTCCAGATAGCAAGTAATAATCAGAACCATGTCTCAGCGACATGCAAAACCCAAACCATTCATTTGCATTTTCTTGTATCTTATTTGTAGAAAAGCTGCAGATTCCAGGAACAACTTCTGGCTTTCTTTATGGAAGATGTTTTTGATCAGCTCCAGTTCCAAATTTACAAGGAAATACATTTTGTAGAAGACTTTCACAGCCTCAGACAGAAACTGAGGCGCTGTGTAAGTATGCACAACAAATGCTGTGAAGTAGGACCTAGAAATGTACCTAAAAACAACCATCTCCTCATCAGCTGGTGAGTAGAAAGTTTTCCTGCTGCTACTTGTGGTCTAGGAGTCTCTCACCACAAAACACCCCCAAGGAACCATGTGTAGCTCATAGTGCACTAGTATTTGTCAAAGAATAGTACATATTACAAGATGAAAAAAGCTCAAAGAACATGGAATTGTCTTCCCTCCAAAGCTTGGAAATATCAACAAGAAAGGTAAACATATTACAGACTATCTTACATAATTGAGCAAATTGAGTAATTATTTATTTTGAATCTTAATACAGTACTGTCAATGTAATAATAAGAATTACTGCAGCTTCTTCAAGTAAATATTGATTTTTAAGATATTCCCTAATTCTGAAGTAATTCCTTTATTCATTCAACAAATACTTCTCTTTTAACAAACATTTCTTGAACACCAATTCGTTTCAACCACTATTCTAGTTCTCTCTCTCTCTCTCTCTTCTCTCTCTCCTCCCTCTCTCTCTCCTCTGTCTTTCTCTTTTTCTCTACTATATTGATGAGACTCTTTAGATTTCTCTTTTCTTATGTATTTAATTTTTAAAACCCTTTTGTAAAGACATAGTTACAGCCAAAACCTGGAAAGGAGGGCCTTGTTTTCTTTCATACCTAAATTATCTTATGGCTCAGTGTGCTCATTGCCACACTATAGAGTGGGAAATAAATTAAGAAGGTACAAGTGGTCGTGATCCTCCAGAAACTGCCATGGAATTAAAATACCATCGCAGGGGGAGGTGGAAGCTGAGATCTGCGCGCTGCGAGCTGAGCTGCTTCTTGCCAACTGTGGAGTCTTCTCTGGGACTTGTTTGGGCTCCCGCAAACCTCTGCCAGCCTCTTGATGTTGTACCTGGTGGATGCAGGATGGAAATGAGCTTTTTAATATTTTAATAATTTTATTGAGGAAGAAGTAGCAATGAAATAGTTTCAAAACAGGTTAGTAGTACAGTTACAATAATTAATACACTGCATATTGTTGTCTCTGTAGTAGTTTTTCCTAGTACAAGGTGCAGACATATGTTGTCTAAACACCATTGGTTCAAAACCTTCTTCTCATTGAACTGAGAGAAAGTAACTGTATATTTATGCTATTTTATATATATATATATATAGACAGATATAGATATAGATATAGATATTTTCCACTATAAAATGGTCCATTTATATCCCCTTTTTTGTATACTTTTGTCAGAGATGTATATTCCATTGCCATTCCTATATTGTAGGTGCACTACTATTATGGACTACTGGACTATATTGGAAATGAGCTTTGAAATGAGCTTTGTATCTTTGAAACTCGAACGCAGAGCAGTTGGAGGTGGTTGGTTGAGTTAGGACGCCTTGTTCTTGTGGGCCACTAGAGGGCTCAGTACCCACGCTCCAGGCTTTAGGGCTGAGGCAATTTATGAATGTGAGCTAGTCAGGAAAAACGATTTTTTAAAAAATCCAACAATTGTACATTCTCATGCCTGTGTTTAGTTTGTCTTTGGGATTCGAGTTGCATGGGTTTTAATAAATTCTCCTATTCTGTTAAAACAGTGAGGGCAGAACTACTAAGAGGTGCTGTGGTTTGTGGAACCAGAGCGGAGGCGCCCAGGCTCAGCTCCCTGGCCTGCGGCAATGGGAAGAGCACCGGGGATTGTTGCTTTATTCTGTATTTGACACAGGAGAGCATCTTCATGTGGTAACAAAAATTAAGTATCCACTTACATAAAGTCAAATGATGGACTTTTATACTTCGGTTACCACCTACTGATTATGTTGCGACCCCAGGCAAGAAGGTCTTCACCATTGAAAGACGTGAGGAGAAGAATGGGACTTGACACTAGGGGGAAAAAAGAGACCGGTGGCAGACGCTGCGGGCTAAGAGGGATCATCCCAGAGACAAGGGAGTCTTTCCCCTCCCAAGATGTAGAGCACGGGGCCCTGCAGCCTTAAAAACCGGGGTTAAAATATACCTCTTGCTTCTTATCTTTATTAAAATAGAGCCCTGGGTTTGTTCGCAGTAGCCATCTGACTTTTTAAATTATTTTTTTAATTTTTTAAATGCATTTAATATAGGATATATACAGGGTCTCACGACTAGATTGGACTTGTAGTGAGTCTCCTGTTTTCAGCCACCCAAGTGCTGGGATTGTAGGGCGCGCCACCACCCCCAGTCTCAATCGCCTCTCAGAGCATCCCAGGGGTGGGGCCGGCACGGTACACGGGGATTGAACCTAAGCAGGCACTTTAGCCCACTGAGCGCTCTGGCCGGCCCTGCCGGTGACTTTCGCTACCATAAATGCAGCTCCACACGCGCAGTGTATGTGGACACCCAGGGCCCCTTCACCCATGTGTGTTTGATCATTGATTTGACTCCAAACCTGTTAACGACAGGCATAGTTGACGCCAAGTAGTGTTCCAGATGGGAACTTCCCAAATTTAGATCTAATGCATCTGGTTTTCTTTGATTGGATTTTGGAGCAACGTTTCCTTAGAGGGAAATCAATTAGTCAGCAACGATGCTTCTTCTAGACTAGCTGCACGGGATGTGTGTGTGTGTGTGTGTGTGTGTGTGTGTGTGTGTGTGTAGGACACACACGTGTACTGCAGCAGGGACACGTTGCTCAGTGGCTGCTGCTTTAGAGGTGGCTGGCTCCCCCTGGTGGTGAAACGCAGACACACCCTCCACAGATCACCCCGCGAGGAAACCAGGGCTTCAGCAGCCCCCTCTCAGGCTAGGTGGGTGGGTTGCTTCTTAGGCTCTGGAATGTGAGTCCTGGGCAAAACCCCTGGGAAAAGGAAGCGAGAAGACCAGGCTGCTATCCGGAAAGCCTCCGCAGACAGTGCTTTTGGGAGATCGGTATTGCTTTGTGTTTAATCTTCTTGCCCATCACAATTTTACATTATTGGCAACAGAAGCTTGTGTCTGGTCCGTATAAACTTAACGTGCATCTGCTCTGTAAAGAATTCTCAGTTTACAATCAGGGTAGGGGTTGGAGGAGCACTAATGTGTGAAGTTGGTAACATTCATTAAATGACATTTTCTCAGTAACAATGGACACTCAGCATGGCCAGGATACACCCGGGCATGGCAAATACCTGCTGCTTTCCCTCCTTGTCCCCACTCTGGTCTGTTGAGAGGTGGAGAAGGACAGATGGCGCCCACGAACTGGTTCTCTCCGCTGGTTTCCTAGGAGGACACAGGGAGGGAGGCAAGGTGACTTCCAGGCAGGTCTCTCAGGAAGAAGAGAGTGAAGGCGCCCGGGCAGGAGCACAGACGGAGCAGGGGTGCCCAGGCCAGGGAAGGCTCCCGAAGGAGGCTCAGGAAGGCCCCCAAGAGCCCCCGGACCTTGGCGTATCTCAGAACTGCCGGAAATCTTCCACCATCAGGAGATGGCAGGAAAATCCAGCTTTTGTTTCCAGGCTCCTGGGCTGTTCCTCAGGCCAGTGGGGTAGGGTAGTCGGATGAGGATCTTGAGGGACCAGGTGAAGAGCTGACGCTTTATTTCTAGCAGGGTTGGAGAGTTCAGTGCTGTCTGTGTTCTGCATAGTTGACTCAGATACAGCACTTGGACAGGTGGTCCTCTTGGTTGCCGTGAAGTATGCTGGCAACAAAACACGAGTGTGTTGCTTTTCTGAAAAATTTCCCCTCAAAGCTCAGAAATATCAACAAGATATTACAAACTATCTTATACACTTTAGCAAATTCAGAAATTATCTTGAATCTTAATTCAGTACTGTAAAGATAATAATGAGAATTACTGCAGCTTTTTATAGATTGCTATACCGTATATGGTATTTTAAAATGTTCTGGCCCAGATCTTTTATTTCTTTTGACAGTTCTCAATGGACATCCGAGTACTTACAAACTGATTATTCAGTTAAAGGTGAAACGCTATTTTAAGTTTGATAGAGTTTTTCTTCTTCAGAGCATGATAATTTTATCTAACAGGACTTGACTTTGGGTGAGTTTGTGCATTGTGCAGGGAACTAGGAAAAACCAAATACTAAGTTGTTGTTGCTGCAAAATTTACAGTGGCCTTCCTTTAGGATCAGATTAGCTTGGACTGGCTTAGTTTTGGTCTTAAGTCACCAGAGAGGAAACCTAAAGAACAACTCTAAGGCACAACAAAGAATTTGATGGATTACCTGTCAGCAGTGGGAGTTGTCAGGGTATTTTTCTCCTCATACTGTTTGTATGTACGGAACTTTACAACTGCTGGCTAGAAACTTCGCCTTAACTCTTCCATTAGTCATGTTGCCGCTGAGCATCTAGCATTTTTAGGTTTTAGATTCTCTATTTCAAAACTCACAGATGCAAGTAAATGTCCATGACAAATACAGATACATACCACATCATGACATTTCAGTCTAAAACAGACCATGTATATGGTGGTGGTCCCATAAAATAATACTAGAACTGAAAAGTGCTTATTGTCTAGTGACATCCTAGCCCTCCTAAAATCCTAACACAATGCATTACTGACGTGTTTGTGGTGGTGATGGCATAAACAAACCTGCTGAACTGCCAGTTGTGTAAGAGTCTAGCATATTCTGTTATATACAGGACCTTAGGCTTGGTAATGTTAGTAAAGCACTATGTCACTGGTCTATGTTTTTATTGTACTATACTTTTACTAATAATCTTAGAAGGTACTCTTTTTTTGTATTTAGGATAGGGTGTACAGGGTGTACAGGGTCTCACTGTGTAAATCAGACTTGTAGTGATCCTCCTGTTTACACCCTCTCAAGTGCTGGGATTACAGGTGCACTCCACCATGCCCAGTCTCAATTGCTGTCTCAACATGCTCCAGGAGTAGGGCTGGCACGGAGGCCCAGGGACTGAACTCCTGACCTCTGCGTCGGCCTAAGCAGGGGCTTTAATCCTCTGAGCTATTAATCCTCTGAGCCGGCCCTTACAATGTACTCTTACTGAAAAATATTTAC